TCGAAAGAACAAACCAAACTGCATCGATCTATGTGTCCGGTTAAAACTTTCGAGTCAAAACTGAATTTTTAAAGTTCCGATCAAACGAAAAGTTCGCGTTTTAAAAACTGAACTTTTTTGATTGCAATCAAATTTTCTCACTCCAGTTGAAAGAACCTCCAAAATCCTTCATACCATCTTGTAGAGCGTTGAATTCTCTAAAACGAAGCTATAGAGCCCAGTTCCACAACTCTTGCAACATCTCCGAAAATGACCAAGAAGAAGAACAGGTAACACGCTTTATAAAGCCCAAAACCCGTTTTTTGAAGTTTCTGACCTCAGAAACTCACTTTGAAAATCGGCAAGGATTACATTCAGGATCAATATGAAAAACTGCATCGAATGATGTGGTCGACAAGGCTTCACGACGAAATCGACTTTTCTGCGAAAATCCGTTGTAGCCGCACGCCAGAAGAGGACCGAAAATTCAATTTTTCAGTTTTTAAAACGCGAACTTTTCGTTTGATCGGAACTTTAAAAATTCAGTTTTGACTCGAAAGTTTTAACCGGACACATAGATCGATGCAGTTTGGTTTGTTCTTTCGAATGAGATGTTGCTTGACTCTACACGACCGAAAATGGTGGAACAAAATACAAAGTTCGGAAAACTGCACTTTTTCACGGTTTCTCATAGTGAATCTTTTTATCGAGTCTATAACTCAGGAGGTATTGGGTTTGAAGGTTTAAAAATATTTTGATAACCCCAGTTTTTTGCGTAGAATCGAATGAGCTAATAAAAAATATATGTTAATGTTTTCATGTTAGGCGGTTCCTTGATGTGCTGGCGATTCCTCTCTTAAGTGATGACAGACTGAAGAGCTATATATTCCACGAAACATTATGTACTTACATAAAAGTTGATTTCTATGTTCACTCACCCCATAGCTCAGCGTGTAGAAAAATGCTTGTTCTACAGAACCCATTTGATACAAAAGTTTTAGAGAATTTTCGTTGAAAAAAGCTTTTTACAATAAAAGTGCAGAAGTTCAATTGGCTATAAGCGGTGCCTGCCTGCTCTGTACCGTGAGCCATTTGAAAAACGAAATTTCATAGCATTTTATATGGTCAGTATTACGAATAGAGAAGAAAAGAAATATGAAATTACATAACATGAAGATAAACAAAATTTATTTATCTTGAGTGTAGTAGAACGAAACGAAAGATATTTGTGTTTCTCGAGCACGAAAGTCATAGTCTAAACATACAGAGTTGAAGATAGTCTTCACCACCATTACTTCAAAAAGTTAACTTGTACTCTTAAACTATAATTGTACATGAAATCTGCTTTAACTATTGCAAGTCCCCAAAATATTAGAAAAATAAGTAGCACTTCTGGAGATAATGGCAGAATCACTCTTCTGTACATCACCAAAGATGCTGAATTATTGAAATAGTATATGATGGTAGAAATGAGATCGCCTAGTTGCAAAAGATTACTGTGCAATAAATATACTGTAATGCTGTGATTTGAATTTCGAGATATAAATATGAGAAATATTCTAACAAATATCACACTATATATCTGCAAATGACCAATATTGTATTAATACTGTATCGACGGTTTATTCTTCTTTCAATGCTAACTAGAGTAACGCATAGGGTGATCCACATAACATGACTTTCAGGCAAAATTTTACGGGCAGATAACACACGTTGCAAAAGTCTTTGGGAAAATGTCCAGCTCTATTTTGGGGGAACGGGTGCGTGTTGAACTGAACAATTTGTGATCAGCTGATAGCCCGTTCTGTTCTCTTTCGAATGATGTATGCCACGCTGCAACAGTTCATTCCGGATAAAATGATATGAGAGGAAAGAGAAGCTCTTGCAACTTCTATCATGATTCTTCAAATAATTCCGTAAAAACTACGGTAAACTACTTTAAAAAACAAAATATTCCACAAAGTACCATCTATTATGTATTGAACAAGTATTTAAAACATGAGACGATGAAAGATCTACCTCGAAGTGGCCGTCCAATCAAAATATCCAACAAAACTCTCAGAGATAGCGTCAAATCCGTGAACAATCGATGTGGTCTGAGTCAACGCAAAATGACACGACGGTATGGAGTACATTATTCAACTATACTCTGAAAAGAAGAACATCGGTCGTTGTCAGAAAACGTCGAAAAAAAACCCCCAATGGACAACGAAGGCCAAGAAAAACGAGCAAGGACAAATTGTGGCAAAATGTATCGAAAATTGTTGGCCGGTTGTGACCTGATTTTGGGCAATGAAAAGTACTTCAAAATGAGTGGGAGCAATGTCGGCGGCAATCGTTTTTTCTATTTGACTGATCCAGCTACGGCTCCTTCAAACATCCGGTTTCAAAAGAAAGCAAAATTTGAGGCAAAATTGTTAGTTTGGATGGCCATATCCTTACAAGGGGTTTCGGATGTGTATGTCCACAACAGCAAACAAGCTAACCGTCGAGGAACATATCTGACGGGGTGTATTGACAAAAGACTGCTTCCATTTCTTGCCAAGTACCATCAGGATGGCAATTATCTATTCTGGCCCGATTTGGCGAGTGCTCATTATTCAAATGTTGTGCAAGGACGTTTGAATAAGAAAAATGTACCATTCGTCCCTCGTACGGATAATCCTCCAAATGTGCCTCAGGCTAGTCCAATTGAAACCGTTTGGGCTCTACTTGAACAAAAGATGTATGAAGGTAATTGGGAAGCAAAAAATTTGGATATATTGGCTCAAGAATAAAAAAGAAGACAAAAGAACTTGATAAAAAAATGTTGCAAGCTATGGTTGAGAGTATTCGAAAGAAGCTTTGGACTATGTGGCGAAACGGACTGTATTCAGTTTGAGAAATACAGTTTTTTGTAGTATCTTCCATACCCTTTCTAATGGAAAACAAATTGACTCTCGAGCTTCTAAAATGACTGAGCTGTGGAGCTCGATATTATTCCAAAGACTTTTACAACGTATATTATGCTACAAAACAAAAGACCTCACATGTATTGATTTTCCTACGAGCGCCACGACTGGTAACTTACCTATTGACTATTAATAACGAAATTCATACAATAAATAGTTCTTAAGGGCTAATTCGATGTCAGCGTTACACCCTAACATAAAGTACATCAAACCCATAAATATATGAAAAACTTCAGAGGGAACGGATTTTGCCTATTATCGTCGCCCCCTTCTTTCAAAGTCATACTACAATAACTACAATACAAATTGAAGTTGTTTGCATAATAATCCAGATAAAGATTTGATGGAACGAGTAGACATTAAGGAGGAAACTTCTACATGACAAAACTCATATAATAAGCAGTTCTTAAGGTTCACTTCGATATCGGTGTTACGCCCGAACATAAAGTACATCAGATCCATGAATATATAATAAATTTCAGAGAAGATCCACTTTGCCTATTATCGCCGCCCCCCTTTTAATTTGTACCGCAACATAAATACAAATTCTGATCAAAGTACTGTGAGACCATACGAGCATGCTCATCTATTTATATTCAATTCGTCAATAGATATGGAAAGAGGTGTAGAGATTTAGATTCTTTTAAGAAAATAGCCGTTTCATTTGATGATTTATTAAAAAACTAATTAATTCCATGGCTCACATTCTTTTAGTTCAATTTCAATTCGGGATTCATTTCGTCTAATTTCAATTATTTTGAATGCTGAATATGGTAGAATTAGTACTTCTTGTTCATCTTTAAATACAGATACCTTTTCTATGTCTAATGCGGTACGTTGATTTCTTATTGTATAGGTGCAAATTGCATCGAATCTACCACTACTATCAGAACTATCGAGAAATCTTCGTGCAACTGCTATTTCTTTTGACGTTGACGAAAATGTTTTTGTTAATATACGTGTGCCAACTTTGTATTGTTTCAAGTCCTCATCTATAATCAACATACCACGATAGGTTGTCCCAATATATGATAGTGCATCAAATTTTGGATGACGAGCTATGATAGCGATAAGATGGGCTCGGCTGAGGTTGTCTATGGCTGTTAAATTCTCAAGACGTAATTGAGCAAGGTGGACATTGAGTGTAGAGTAGAAACCGGTATCAGCAGTATATGCTTTAATCAAATAGAGGGGATCACGTTCCATAAAAGCACGATCAAAATATTGTCTGATAGTATCGATACGATCAATTTCTTTCAAGTCTTTCTCAACATAATCCTCTTTTATGTAATTAATGAAATGGTAAAACTTTGGGTCTTTACCATACGCTTCCAGCTTTTTCCAGTACTCATGTGCTTGATAATCAGCATCATTCGTGGCTAGAATCCATTCAATTGCTACACTACAAAAACGTGTATTTTTTCGACGAGTGATGATCAATTGTTTAATTTCATCTGTTTTTGCCTCTTCTAATGGTGTACAGTTATGTTTGTTGATTATTGCATGATTTGCATGGTTTTGTAGAAGCAGTTCGACGATTTCTTTATGACCTTGATAGGAAGCAACATGAAGTGCTGTTGAACCATTTGGCTCAATCCTGTTGATGGCTTCCGGCGTCATTGTTTCAAGAAGTTCTTTGACCAATTCAATTTTATTATTTCGACAAGCAATATAAAAAGGACTGATCGTAGTAGTACTGACTGGAGCAGACGTAGCTATAGATAGGAGACGAACGGTGAGACAATGCTTCTGTATGGGATATCGGAGTTTCATTAAAACATTTTTCATAAAAAAAACTTCCATTAAAACGAAGTTCATTAAAATTTTAACGAAAGTTCCGGTGTGTTCGGTGACTCTGTATTTTCATTAAATTTTTTAATGAAATTCTTGTGTCATCAAACGTTTTAATGAAACTGTCACGTTCACCTTGCAGGAGTCATTTTAATGAAAGTTAGGTGAACAGAATATAAGTTAAACACTCGACAACAGGTATGTTTAAGTGGGAAAAAATGATGATATATCGCGTAGCGATACATGTAGGAAGTGAAACAAGTATCTCTTGCTAAGCGATACCTTGTTAGCGAAATATAAATTACTAAGCGAAATATTCCATACGTCTACATTCACTGCTTAGCATTTAATCATAGTTAGTGAATGTGTCATTTTCATGCTACAAGATACTAGGATCATCAGAAACAGGTTATTCTTACAAACAGTATATAACTGCATTTTAATCAAAGTTCGTGTGCGTTCAGTGCCCCTGGCTTTTTATTAATGAAGTTCTTCTGGCGTTCATATTAATTATCAGGTTGGCAAGAAAGCTTTTGCGTTTTTGTACACATTTTGTAGACAGAATACATTTTGTGTCTTCAAGATATGGTGTTAATGATCTCATAGACTTAACAAAATGTAATTTTTCGGAATTACGTGCTATTGATTCTCAAACATTACCAACACAAACATTTATTCAAGCTTGTAAAGATTACGTTAGTAGTGGTGTTAATCCAGTTGTAGAAGCTTGTGCTTGTACTAGTGGTTGTGCTACAAAAAAATGTCCACGCAAAGCAGCTATAGTGGTACAAAATGCCATCCTGCTAAAAAAAACACTGTTCAAATAAATAGATGTAAACTCTTTGATATATTCAACAATTTCCTGTGCTGTTGTCTCCTTTACTAATAAATAATGCATGTGCTTGTACATATCATCATCCGTCTAAATGTGTATTTTAATTTCTACTACAGTAGAAATAGTAGAAATTAAAATACTTCCGTTATCTAAACTTTCTAGTAGAATTTAAAATTCTCCTATAGTAGAGATTAAAATTTCAATTTCTACTAGTGCAACTTAAAATCGCCGCTTATTTTAATTTTTCCTAGTAGAAAATGAAATTTTAATTTCAACTAGTAGAATTTTAAATTCTACTGAATTTTAATTTCTACTGCGACATGTATCTTTACCCTAATGTCTTCCTATAAGGAAAACACAGCTTTCGTGACGCAAATGAAGATTGAAATTGAGAATATTATTATTTTGACACTATGTAAGAATTACATGGTAAGGATAATGTTCGAAGTAGAGTGAGTAAATATCTTTTAATGTTTACTAGAACCTGATGAACTGATTAATCACAATTTGACCATTTTATTGATTTTCGTACATTAAAATGTTTAGACTGATAGTCGATCATTTCGACATATAACTTATTGAAATCGAATAAATAATAGACGTGCAACACGAAAAAAGTTATCTTGGTAACTACTCAACCTATTTTGATGAAATCTAGCACTTAAGGGTTAAAAACGAGACTCTTTCAAATGAGTAACTCCAAAAAAAGTTTCAGAGCATACAGAAGTGTGTTTTTCGGCACAGAAACGAAAAACTAAATAATTTTTTACAAAAAATTCAATGTCCTTAATATTATTTCGAATCAGTTAAAATTATCAGTTAAAGTTACTTTAAAATATTTTGAGATGCATCTTAAAACATCATATCTTTATTCAGTATAGAATTTTTAATTTTAATTTTGAAATTTTAAACGTTTTCTAAAAATGAAATAGCAAAGTCGAAAAAAGAGGTGAGATTTTTTCAAGTACACCGTTAGATAGAGCTCAAAGAACTGAACAATTTTTTTCAAGTTAGTCATTTGAAAGAGTATGTTTTAAAGTTTCAAATACTGGATTTCATCAAAATACGTCCGGCACATCATACTTTAATAATTAAAAGCTTTCTTATGTTGTATGTTGCAGGTCTATTTTTGACACTCGCTTTTGATCGTCTTGTGTCATGCATACGATCTTCTAATATTAATATTATAAAAACTACGACTTACCTCTACTACTGGCTCTACTCCTCGATTGATTTGTGATCGAAGGAGCTGCACTATGCGATTTAAATTTTTGATTATTCGTTTGATAATGTTTGTACGTATGTGTATCAGCAACAAATAACTTGACTGCTCTTTTGATTTCGCTTTACTAATCTCAGCTATGATCGATGATGACTCGTCATTTTCGACTTTTTTGCCGTCAACTTCAAGAATACGATCATTTTTTCTTAAACCGACTAGGTATGCCTGACTATTTGGTACCACGTCTTGGATGTAGAGTCCAGAACCATCGTTGCCTAAAAAATAGTCTAGATGATGGATCGTGAAGGAGAGTATATCGTGTTTTGTTCTCACCATTAGCAACCGCGAATCCAAAACTAGTATCTTCTGGTTTCATTTTAATTTCACATATACGCGGTGCTCGTTGCATGTACTCATTCCGTA